TGTGAAGTTACATAGTTACATAGTATTTGAGGTTAAATAAAGACATATGTCCATCAAGTCCAACCTATTGTGTGTGTGTGTGAGTGTATAGGTCCTTGAGTCATCTCGTTATTAGGAGTACCTGTACCCCTGTATATTACCGTCTCTCAGGAAATCGTCCAAAAGCTTCTTGAATGATTCCACACTATTAGCTGAAATCACTGCTTGTGGCAATTTCTGAAACCCAAATGAGGTTCCAAACAATTTGGGCATTCACTAATTGGTGTAGGACCACCGCACCTACAGTGGCACTTTATAAGAAATGTTAGGGTGTTTTTGCACACACACAAATACACACACCTCTAAAAACACTATATTGCCAAAAGTATTAGGACACCCCTCCAAATCATTGGATTCAGGTTTTCCAATCACCTCCGTGGGCACAGATGTATAAAATCACGCACCTAGGTATGCAGACGCTTCTACAAACATTTGTGAAAGAATGGGTCGCTCTCAGGAGCTCAGTGAATACAAGCGTGGTACTGTGATAGGCAAGTCCATCCGTGACATTTCCTTGCTACTAAATATTCCATGGTCACCTGTAGGTATTATAACAAAGTGGAAGCAACTGGGAACAACAGCAACTCACCACCAAGTGTTAGGCCACGTAAAATGACAGCGCGGGGTCATCGCATGCTTCTGAACACAATCGCGGCTAAAACAGCCACATGTCGTGTATCAGAAAAAAAACGTACAAGTACCTTTTTTTCTGCGATACACAACGCGTGGCTGTTTTTTAGCTGCGGTCGTGTTCAGAAGCACAGGCGGAATCAGCGGCGGGAAACTGCGCTATCCGGCCGGCGTGACTAGGGTGCCATTGGAAAAAAAATGGCATCCACAGTGCGATCTGTGCACACCTGGGATGCCTCTCTTTCTTCACTTTTTCATAGACACTGCAAGAAGCAGAATGTTGTTACACTGTTGGAAATCTTCAATTTATTATTTTATATCGATATTTAACCACTTCAAGTCCGCGGTGTTACACCCCTTTCGCCATTTTTCAGTGTTCAGCGCTGCGGTACTTTGATTGACGTTTATTCCGTCACGCAACGCTGTACTGAAATATATTTTATACCATTGTTTGGGGACAGATAGAGCTTTCTTTTGGTGGTATTTAATCACCACTGGGGGTTTTATTTTTTACTATATTAAGGGAAAATTACCAAATTTAAAAAAAACAAAAAAACTGTTACCTCCAATATTAAATGATAAAACATTACTTTCATAAAGTCATTATTACCCAATTTTTTGGTAAAATATAAAAGACGGGGTCATGTCCGGTAAAAAGACACCAAACATGTCAAGCCTTAAAATTGCACGCGCACGCTTGAAACCTCGAAAAAATACAATACCCAAAATTGGCCATAGGCAACGTTTTGAAAGCTTTTATCGCTCATCAGTTTAGTGTTATCAGTGATTGATTGCTCTCACTCTCACTCCGACATTCGTGACCATATGTAATCCTTACTGAATTCTCCAACTACCATCACTGCACGGCTTCACAATGCTGTGATAATTATAGAACTCGCTGAGGGGTTTGAAAATGCTGGGTGTGGCGCACGCGCACTAGAGCCACGGAAAAGAGACATGTGCAGGTGCAGTAAACGGAATTGGAGACTTCGATGAGACTTCTGAAGACATGCAGGCGCAATGAAGATCATTAGAGAACTCGATGAGGATTAGGAAAATGCCACGAGTAGTGCACTGGAGCCAACTCATCCAAATCTCCTACTGGCAAGTCGCCGGACGTGACGTCATTGGAAATCTCAATGAATTGGAGCTTTCGACAGAACACCGGTCCTTTAGCACCTAAAGCCAAAGTGTGCTCCCCCGCTCCTTAATGAGTTGTAATTTTCCTCAGCAGCATTGGGTGCAGTTTCTGCCCTTTTTCGCTGACAGATGCAACATCTGATCTTCCTGCACCTCCATCCCTTTACATCTGTACAGGTACTAGGGGACAAATGCACGGCGCTGGACTGATTGTTTTTACGGGCTGCACGGAACTCCTGTGACTCTAATGCATAAACACACACATGTATGACCCTCTGTGACCGTGTACATCAGTGGTTCTCAACCTTTCTAGGGCCGGGACCCCTTGGTAACATTTGCCAAGTTGTGGTGACGCCCAACGGTAAAATTTAGGGTTGACGCGGCTGCTGCAGCGACATCTGGCGGCGTGGCGGGAGACCTGACACTGCTGCGCTAGGAGAGGGCCGAGGAGGACTCTCACCGAGCAGAAATCACACAGCGACCCCACAGGTTGAGAACCACTGTTGTAACCGCTAAAATGGCAAACCATATAACACAAGCCGAGGGTGTCAGCTTTTATTATTAATAATAATGATGATGATAATCTAATAGCTATCTAATAGTGGGAGACTCCCGGCGACCCCTGGCAAATTGTCACTCGACCCCCAAAGGGGTCCCGACCCACAGGTTGAGAACCGCTGGTGTACATGAACCCCAAGGCTGGATCCATATCTTTGCATCTTTGCCTAAAGAGCACCTGAAGCCAAATACTTCACTTTTAGTTTTGGATAGAGTGGAGAGGTATTAGAACCCCAGTAAGAGTTTTATTGCCATCTGTGTTCCAATTAGGGAGCTTCACCCTCTCTATTTGTTCTGGTGACTATCACCACTGAAAGTGAACGAAAATCCTAAATTTTGGGTGGTCTCCAGAACAGGAATACATTGGAAATCTTTGAGGGTCCAGTTACACAATATAGATCTGGATGGGTCACGTTCTTGGGCGGGAGGGGGCTTGGCAGTGCCATTCATGTCAATGGCTCCGCAGATGTTCTATCAAAGTTTGTGACTACGTTAGACTGTGTGACCGGTGAGGTGGTCACACATTTAAACATAATGCCGCCCAGTTTTTTCGGCGATGGAATGTGTGACCGGTCACGTGGTCACACATTTTATCCAGGGTTAAAATATGTGACCGGCAAAAGTTGAAGAATTCCAAGCTTTCTCAGCTGTTCTAGGGCAGATCGGCATTGCAGATGGTATGTGTAGGAGAACTGATCTGCCCTGGAACAGCCGATCGGTCCTCAAATCTCCCTTTTATCCGACTTTTTGAGCGCGATCTCACGTTCCACAAAGTCCAATAGAAGTGACATTTCAGGACCGATCAGTTCTCCTGCACATATGGTCTATGATGCTGATCTGCCCTGGAACTGCTGAGGAAGCTTGGAATTCTACACCTTTTGCCGGTCACATATTTTATTCCCGGAACAAATGGGCGTGATTACCATAAAATGTGTGACCACGTGACAGGTCACACATTCCAACCCAGTCACAATCTTTGATAGAACACAGGCACACCACCCGCACCAGAATGTGAGGTACAGGAATGCCCTCCTTTCCGGTGCAGTGTGATCAGAAAAAAATGCGGCATGCACTATTTTTTAGAGCGCACTGCACTGGAGGGCATTCCTGAACCTCGCATTCCGGTGCTGGTGATTGCATTGCGGGTATGGGGGGTGTGTGTGTGTGTGTGCCTACAGTGCCATTGACATGGATGACATCCGCCACACCCCCTCCCAAGAATGCGGCCCAGCCTGATCTATGCGATCCGGGCTCGGACCGCGCCAGAACGCACTGGATAACGCGTGACTGGCCCTCCGAGGCCCTGGATGTGCGCTGAAGGTGGAAAAGAAGTATTACAAATTTGGCGACATACAGTTCACTTTTTTTTAAATGCACATTCTCACATGCAGGGAAAAGACATGTTTGCTCGGCCGCATTTGGGGTGCCATTACCTAATAGCGGAAATGCAAGCGTGTTGCGCATTTGTAAACATATACTCTACATGCGTCAAAGTACACACTTTCGTGCATGTTTGAGGCTCGGTCACAATGTGTCATTTTTTCAACGGCTAATCCGCGGGGTCACAATATGCCCTGGTGTGAACAGGGCCTAAACTTCCCTTACTCTACCCAAAACTAACAAAAGTTCGGCTTCAGTTCTAATTTAATGTCTTTTCCATTGAAATCAATCAATATGCGTTTCAACACGCATCATAACATAAACGCATCACAATGTGAGTTATGACAGGTTGACATCCAATACAATGTAACATAGCAATGCACATTTACATGCATCTTGATGCTCTTCCACTGATTTCAATAGAAAACACATCGGAGGGAAAACCACAAAGGAATACATCCACCCTAAAAAAAAGAAAAAGCTTTGGCTGTATATACACTTTGAGGAAAACAAACTCTGGTAGAAGCGTCAGATTGGGGTGATGAAGGAGCCTCAAGCATCATTGAGGTTAATTCAAAAAGTAAATGTAAACAGGAAATGACAGTAACCCATAGCAACCTTTCCTTCAAAATAAATTCCGATCGCGATTGGCTGCTATGGATACCACAGCTGTCAAATAATAAAGGAACGCTTTCTGTCTGGACCAAGCTCAGACTGCATACTATACAAATTAGAAGTAATGGTCTTATCCTCGTACACCATGAAACAGGGCTCCTCACCTGCCGAGGAATGTGTACAGCTCAGCTGCCGCCTCATGCCTGTCCTTCCACATCCTCCCCTCACCATCTGAACTGCGCGGGCTCACCGGGTCACCGCCCCTGAACTACAGCCGCGCTCCCTACTACTGGAAACCAGAAAACACATAAAAACAGCTACATTTTTCTAAAAACAGTCCGAGTTCGGGAAATAAGACATGACGTCCATTTATTTTAATAATTTGCACTTATTTTCGAATTGTCGTACACGTGACACGTAGATCTTTCACGTTCACTAGATTCATCCGCGACACAAAATAGTTCCTGAAGTGCAGACATGGCTACAGCGATTTATTTTACTCGAGAGCCTTAAATCCAGTTATAAGATGATAAGACGACATTATTGTTATTTACTGGTGTATATTAGGAGGTGTCATTTGGCTTTGCATGTCACTGTAGTATGGGTGTAGTGCGCAGACGCCGCTCCTGTACCGGCGGGGGGATATAGTGCCGCGTTGCCGAGACTCCTCCCTTTTCTCTCTGTGTCCGCCATCGAGTAGCAGGCAGGAGCAGGCGATCAGCATGGTAAGATGCGGGAGAAAGGGGTGACTGAGGGTCGGGGGATGTTTGAATTGGGTTCCCTGAGTTGTGTGGACTATGGCCCACGTTCCTGCTGTGTTTTTTCCGTTTTCCGCCTTGCTATGCCCGGAGAACTAGGCCGGAGCCAGGCATGCGGGGAGGCCGGCTGTCCTCCATGCTGCTTTTACCATACATGCACTCCTACTCCATGCTGCCTTTCACATTTACTAAAGCCGCACTCATTCTCCATGCTGCCGTCCGTATAATACTGTCTAAAGCTGCACTCATACTCCCATGCTGTTATTCCCCATATATTGGCACAGGCCGCACTCTTACTCCATGCTGTTATTTACCATATAGTGGCTCAGGCCGCACTTCTGCTCCCTCATATACTAAGGCTGCACTCATACTCCATGTTGGTTTCCCCATATACTATAGTTGCAGTCATTCTCCATGCTCCTTTGCACCCATACTCCATGCTAGCTTCCTCATATACTAATGCCACACTCCTAAGCTACCTTATCTGTATATTAAGATCACACTTCTACTCTGCTATCGTCCTTATACACTGACTCAGGATGTACACATACTCCAGGCAGCACTTGCACTCCATGCAACTGATTTGGGATGCGCTCATGCTCCATGCTACTTTTCCATATACAGACCTATTACGTTCACGCTCACAATGATGCTCTTTTCCTGTACACATCAGCTGTACTTGCCCTCCATGCTGCTGGACCTGTACTCTGACCAAGGCTTTGCTCTGATCTCCATTGTGACTGTATGATGTCCAATGTTATCCAGCTGTGATTTTCTGGTTGTAACAGAAGTTTTCCAGCTTCTACTTTATCCATCTGGCTGTTTGCGTAATGAATGTGTTTTACCTGCCAGAGCTATACATGGCCTCACCGCACAGCCAGGCTGATGACACCATGTACTTTATTACTTATATATACTGTAAATGGGATACAGTAAATATATATATATGTCCCTTATGGGCGAAGATTTCTTTCTGGCATTTACCCAAAATAAGAGCATCGGTATGAGGGCTGTTTACAGAGAAAACAAGAAATATATTGTGCCCATACAACAAAGGATATATGTACCGCTAGTGTTTTGCCATCCACACTCACAGTTTTGTATATGCTTTTATTTTGTGCCAGTAGCATTGTTGTCGTATGAAATGTAACTTCTATAAAACTTAACATACGAAACTTCACCCATACTGTGTCATTTAATGAATTGGCTCCATTAATAAAGTCCTAGGGAATGTTACCCATATGAGCTGCTTTGGCTCCCAGTTATGAGAAGAATGTATACACACTGAAGGGAATGTATCAAATCCTGGAGCAGCTGTTCATGGCAACCAATCAGCTTCTCTGTTTTACTTTCAAATCTTAACTGAACAAACTGATGAGAAGAGCTGATTGGTTGCCATGCACATCTGCTCCAGATTTGATAAATTCTCCCCCTCCCCCCCACTGTATAAAGATGCCTATAGTGCACTTTACATGTTTCTGCTTTCCTTAATCTCCATTTCTTATGTGTGGAATGTATTCTGAAGGCTGTTCTGTAGTATCTTCCAATGCGATGATGGTGTAATTTGCGTCTTACCTGGTATTTAGCGACAGTTGCCTACTGTCATTATGCTAGTACTGTGGACTGATGATGATCGAGTCTGAGCATTCTGTGCTTAAGAATGAAATGTGTGTGTGTTTGTTGCATGCACTAACTTTGTTTTTGTTACTCCCCCTAGGCCTGCGCTCGTCCTTTGATAACCGTGTACTCCGAAAAGGGGGAATCGTCAGGCAAAAATGTCACTATGCCTGCAGTGTTCAAGGCTCCTATACGTCCAGATATAGTCAACTTTGTTCACACTAACCTGCGCAAGAACAGCAGGCAGCCATATGCAGTGAGCGAGCTTGCTGGTATGTGTTCTGAAGAGCACTGGGTTTTGTAGTCTCTGTTTAGACTGACTTGACATGCACGTAAACAAGATCCAACAGCCAGAACTATGTATAAAGTAAGATAGGCAGCTTCGGCACTCAGACTGTGGTGACACTACAAATCTGGTCATGCCCATGGTTGTCAGTCTTGCAATGCCCCATGGTGGTGCCAGTGGTGCCTACCCCTGGCACAGAAGTGTAAATGACATCCATAAAATCATGGCAGAGGTTAAAATGCTTTCCCACTCTATTCAAAAATAGAACTCAAGGTAAAGATTGAGTTCCATAATGAAGGTTCCACTCAAGTTCTTTGTGACTTGTGAAGTCCAGTGTATCTATTCTGCATATGATAGGTCTGTGAAGTAATCCTCTATATTCTGACTATTCTCAGGTTAGGGAGCTGGCCTCCTGCCTCTCAGGTAGTGATGTCACTAGAAGTGACTTCCACAAACCCAATAGTAAAAAGAAGCTGACTATGAATGTCTTATTCCCATGCAAGTGCCGAGGATTTTAAAGCTCTGATTCATATAGACTGGGTTTTGTGTGCACTATCTACTTGCCAGCTCGAAGTGCCTCGTAGTTCAGATTAGTGAAAACCTAAATTGTCTACTTGACTGTTTTTTGTAGAAAAAGTTTTTACACATGATGAGCTTCACTTCATTGGTCCGTGTTTCTGAAACTAATGATTGCCATGAAGATCTGATAAACTTCTCAGACTGTTGAAGTTAAAATCAAACAAATCTTTCTTTGCTCATGCGGTTTCTCTTATTTCCAGGTCACCAGACCAGTGCTGAATCATGGGGAACCGGCAGGGCTGTTGCCCGTATTCCCCGTGTCCGTGGTGGTGGAACTCACCGTTCCGGCCAGGGTGCATTTGGAAACGTATCCTTCTGAAATGTTTGTGGAGAAATTTCAGCTTGCTGTGATGTTGTAATTTGCGCCTTACTCCTCGCTTTGCGACAGTTGCCTGCTGTCATAATGCTGGTGTGGGTGGCTGATGCGAATCTAAATTCTGAGCAGGGCTACTTCAATCTTGGTAAATGTTTGGAAGGTGGAAGCTTTTTTACTTTGCGGTTGCATTCCTTAATAATGGTCTTTAGATGTGCAGAGGAGGACGCATGTTTGCCCCAACAAAAACCTGGAGACGCTGGCACCGTAGAGTCAATGTAACCCAGAAGCGATATGCTGTTTGCTCTGCACTGGCTGCTTCAGCCCTGCCTGCACTTATCATGTCTAAAGGTAAGAAGCAAGTGACATTGGTTTCATTTCATTTTTAGCTGTACTTGATACGTACTCTCAATATGATGATTTCCACTTCTGGTCCGTGTTTATGATACCTGTGATTTCAGTGGAAGCTCTGATGAGTCAATCTCTATATTCTAATTGTATAACTTATCCCTTAGCTCAGGGCTTGACACATTTTCTTTGAATCCAGGAGCCAACTAAAGTTGAGACGGGTTGTTTTTTTTCATGGGGGTGTTTTCACGTTTGTGTGGGTGGGGAACTTGCATTTTTTTTTTCTTTATATACAGACATTGGAGGTGAGAGTTTCTTAGACACCTAGTGTCACCTTTCCACTTCAATGGCTTTAGCTGGGGAATGACCGCTGCTTACTAAGGCAGCTGAATGTAAACACAGCAGCTGGGAGCAATAGCCAGCTTGCTATTGGCCATTTTAAATTGCAGTATCAGATACTGGCTTTTGCAGAAGAGAGAACTGAAGGAGAAAGTTCTTTCAGGTCCTCCTCTACTGATTGACAAACAGTGGCTGGGAGCAATAGCCAGCATCTATCGGCTACTGCAATTTAAAATAGCCAATAGCAGGGTGGCTATTGCTCCCAGCTGCCGAATGGGAGACTTCATGCCCGCTTTCAGCAGCTGGTGGTAGATGGGAAGAGGGGGCACGGGTAATGCCGAAGCACAGTGGTCTCCTCCCTACTGGTTGCAAGCTGCAGCGGTCTGTGTCCCATCCCTGCTGATGCAGGCAGGGAGAGTGGTGGGGATCAAAGTGGACACAGACGACAGAGGCTCCCAGTGGGGAGGAGAATGGGATGCGGGGGACAGTGAAGGGTCTGACAAAAGCCCAGGCACCAGGATGCAATTTCTAGTAGTCTGCTATCTGTCGAGGGCTGCCTTTGCTGGAAGACTATCATTAAAAAGCAGCATGTTTTAAACTGAGGAGCTTTTAAAATAGAGGTAGGCTCAGTGTGCATTGTCACAAGGATGGAAATTGATAGAAGATCCAAAAGTAGTTTTCACAAACGGTAATGGAGGGAACATTTTCCACCAGACAACTTGTGATAGATAAGAGATTTTTTCCCTTCCGGTTTTGTATCTGGGGCAGAACTACTCCACTACATAATAGGCTGCATAATTCTACAGTTTTCACATACAAAATCCTTGTGCAAGCCTTGCAAAATAGAACCAAAGCTGTGACATGTTGAGCAGCTGCCACACAGCGGTACAGAAATTTGTCCTCTGCATTGACGCAATAAAAAATGTATTTTTGTTTAGAATTGTAATGCTTAAGAAAAATGCATAGCAAGATTGGTAATGGTTAATTTAATAACGTATTCTTTGATGGTTTTCAGGTCACCGCATTGAGGAGATCCCAGAGGTTCCATTGGTGGTTGAAGATAAAGTTGAAAGTTACAAGAAGACAAAGGAGGCTGTCTTGCTGCTGAAGAAGCTCAAAGCGTGGAATGACATCAAGAAGGTAAGAGGCTTATGATGGCATCTGGGAAATTTTTACACCGGTATTAAATATATTTGTAGCGGAACTCAAGGCACATGGCTAAATATATATATATTTGTCTAACGTAATGTGTAAAGCAAGTTGAGTTGCATTACATTTTATTGCAACACATTAAAATGTGCAGAAAATACATGTGTATCTCTACAAAATGGTGTATATGGGGCCTAATGCACCAGAAATCTATTGGGTATGTTTTAGCAGCTCTATTAGATTCCTTTAACCTCACCATTAACTTTTAAAGTATCTGTATAAAAATGCATAGTGTGTGTATATAATGGTAAAGGTTATTGTGTATCTCTTCAGCCATGTATTCTAGTGATGACACATATTTAATGGTTTAGCTTTTAATTTCTTTGTTTTAATATTTCTGCTCACAATGATTGTGTAGCAGCTTTATGTATAAAACTGATGTGACTCTAACTTGTTGCTTTGCATCTATGTTGTATAATAGTTTGGTCAAGTAGTCCTGTGTTGGCCACAGTGTTGCTGTCAGTCCTAAACGAAGATCTTCTTTTGTTTAGGTCTATGCTTCCCAGCGTATGCGTGCCGGTAAGGGTAAGATGAGGAACCGCCGTCGCATTCAACGCAAAGGACCTTGTGTCATCTACAATGATTTTCACTAGTGATTGGCCTGTGGTAGGGCACTAAAACTTGTCTGGTTTTTAACCCCTTAAAGACTAAGACCTTTTTAAAAAAATGTTGATTACATGTTATAATCCACATTTTAGGCCTGAAAATTACTTAAAACCCCCAAACATTATATATTTTCTGAAAGCCAGGGCCCTGTAGAATAAAATGGTGGCAGTTGCAAATTTATGTTGCCCGACATTAGCGCAACTTGGCAAACCCAACAATTTAGTGAAAAATGCACTTGCTAACTTTAGTGCCCAAAAACAAGCCGGTCCTGAGCCTGCAGGAGGGGCCCATGAAATGGATCGTAGAAGCGATCTGGCGGCAGCTGAGCTGCCCGAATCGCTTCTACTGTAAAGCTGGCCACCAGCTCTACAAAACTGAAGACTCCCGGCGTCTGTTTAACCCCTTCAGAGTTCATGACAGGATTATCCCGTCATGGGTTGTGAAGGGGTTATAGAACACTACCACCCAAGCTTCCTGACGGATACAAGTAGCATCTAGTAGCGGATGTGCTGCGGCAGTGTTTTTCAGTTAGTCTGCCAGGGGTACAAAAGCAAGAGACCATTATGCTTCAAATATTTTTATAAAGCATTCAGGCCCCTGCAAGGCCCAATGTGTACTGGGACATTCGTGTTGGTACACTCACACCAACATTAATCTTGACCACCATTGTTCACAAGTATTGTCTACTTGTTTTCTGGGCTATTAGGCTGAATTTGAGTCAGCTGCTTATTGGGTAAAGGGTTGTGATCTGGATAATGCTTATAGTAAACTTGTTCTAGTCTTAACTCTTTCTTTTTCTTTGCAGATAAAGGTGAAACAAAAGAAAAAGGAGAAAGCAGCCACCCCTGCAGCAGCTGCCCCCGCTGCCCCTGCAGCAGCCAAGGAATCATAAATGTGACTCCCTAGAGGTTCAGCACTTTGGAGTTGTTACCAATAAAATGCCATTTAATATGAACTGCTGTTGGTGTTACTGACAAGATTGTTGTGAACTTCAAATAGTGTTTTGTATAGAACATATTTAATATATTTAAAGCTTATTGTTTTGGGCTAGCTTTCTTACCTTTTTGCCTTTATGGTGGAATATTTAGTGTTCTCAAAACCTTATCATTGATCGGTGCTGGTGAATAGACTTTGTTCAGCCTGGTGCAGATCATACAAACATGCAGGGTTTGTAGTTCCATAATCATTTGTAACTTTGGGCACATGAACACTTGCCATGCATTTCCTGGTTTGATTCACTCATCTGAATAGCTGGCCATTTTTTGGGTGATATCAGCTAAAAGGGTTTGCAAGAAAAAAAGTGCAAGAGCCTTTATCCATCACTAATGTCGGACTGAAATGTGATTGGAGAGAGCGCAAGGTTGATGGCACACTGCAGTCTTTCCTGAAACTTGGAGGCAAATACCTCCTATTTAAGAAAATTCTTTAATGTGTACAGGGGTTTTGTTACAAAAGTGGAGAGGAATATGACACGTTCTTGTGAAAGACTCGGAGGTACTGACCAGTATTTGTGCAAAGCCTAATGAATCTAATAGTGGTTTGTTTTTTTAGAACGGATTATTTTATTTTTTATTGGAGTCATGGAGATCTGAGTGGCATCTTGGCATAGGGCCGGCTGTAAATGCAGCTTTGGCTGTGCTTCAGACATTCATATCACTTATGCCTGCTGGCCTGTAAGGCTGCAATATAAACCTTCCTGTTTTCTTTGAGGCTTCTTGTGTCCATTTTAAAGGAAATCTGGTATTATAAGATGGAGGTTTCTGTTGGTTTTTGGCTTCAGTTGCTAGCAGAACAAGCACAGGCCTAAGCAATTCAGTTTCAGAAATGCAAGAAAGACCAACACAGCAACAACAACATCACTGTCTCACAGCTCTGGTATAACATTTTTCAGGGTTATTGAACATAACTTTTTT